ACTGAACGACAAAGACGGAAGCTCAGCTTGCAATGGTTAAAGAGCCCATACAAGATATCAAGCGACTCACCCAGGATGGTACTACAGATGTCACCATAGGCAATAGTTAAAAACAGGACATTTCAACGGCGACTGAAACTGGTCGGATTCACCTTATCGAAGTTAATCCTAAAGGCGATCAAGACGTCAGCAACTCTACCACTATCTTTCATATCAGTAGGAATTCACCAACCTGTGATGATGTTGTCCACCAGCAAGACCACGTCCTCCTGGATGTTTGCGATGCTTCCCGACGCGTCCGTAACCGGCCGAGACGTGGCCACGGTGCTTGCGAGTCTTCTTGAGCCGAGTGGGCATACTAAAGTGATTCAGAGCGTGTTAGGTAGTGAGAGAGTGTCGAACGAATGAACTCTGCGTACTTGGTGAGTGAGGATGTCGGTGGGTAACTTGGCGCTCAATTCTGTTGATCGACGCAGCGAGACCCGTTTGAACATTGGGCATCCTACCGCATTTTCTTTGTCAGCTGAACATTCTCCACTCTCTTTCGTTTGAGACTGTTGTTTCCTCCACTCGGCACCTCAGACGCTTTCTGTTCCAGCGTTTTGATACCCTAGAGTATTTGTGTTGATAGGCCTTTCTCTCTCTTGGTGAGTCTTCCGTGTCATCGTCTTGCAACCAAAAACGATTACAATTTTATCTGTCAATCCCCTGACTGGCTCCTCGAGAGCTAGGATGGAGACAAACTTTCACCTGGCATATGAAACGTTCATTCATATTAATTGCAATGATCCAGGCGCAAAATCTTCTCATTGACTTGCTCGTCTGGCATTGTTGCAGCGATGAACGCGCCTAACCGTTTCGAACTCTACGTATTGGCCGATGGAGAGAAGGCGTACGTCTTCGGGGCTACCTAGTGGACGTCGATGCGGGAGCTTATTCGCACGGATCACATATTGTATTAATCCTCGTATGCTATCAATGGAATAGGCTCGAAGTCGTCGAGGACACGAAAATTCCCAATGCGGCGACCATAAAAATCGTTAAGCAGGATCACACCATGGCCAACATGATCCGAGCGTGAGTGGCATATATAGAGCTCGCATGTCTCGATCATCACGTAATCTGACTTGGGAAATATATTGTCTACAGTCAACTGCTCGCACATCCGAACGTCGTCTTTGCTGGCTATAAGGTCCCGCATCCCAATGAACCCTACTTCATCCTCAAGGTCCAAACGGATGGCAAGATCACACCAGCGCACGCGTTCCGAACCTCATGCGAGCTGCTTCTCGCCACGATCGCCAATCTTCAACGGGAGTTTATACGGGAGTTTGAACTCAAATCGATGGATGAAGATGATGCAGGCCAGGGAGCGCGGGCTGGTGGGATGACAGGTGCCTATGGAGACGCGTATGGGTCAACGGATACGGGTAGGACAGGTCGTCCGCGTGCGCACGATTACGCCGACTTTGGGATGTAGAGACCAGGGCGAACGACCAACCACGCTTCGCTTGTAATAAGCGTGGGCGCCATGTATTGATACTTTACAACTACCAGCTGTACTACCAATTCTACAACGTGTCCTTAGCGATCCCATGCGACTTGGTCATGCAACTAATTGAATAAGTTGTCGGAACATAACATGTCCGTTACTTCCGGAGTCCTCGGTTCACATGCGGGTTGTCATTCGTACAACTACTGCTGCCGTCGCTTCCACAAGGATACGCCATATGATGGACTACATTAGACGACGAGCGATGCTATTCAACTTGATCCCTCCTCCCGACATTATTTTCGTATTTTCCGCCTTAGTTGGTTGTGGTTGACAACGTGCTGTAGGAGTGAAGTGAGTGCTTAGCGACAACTTCTCTGTCATCCTTCAGCATGATGCCTCGTGCTCAAATATCTTCTGATAGAGCCTCTTCGACTTCGTTACATACTCGGCCATTGAACGTCGGGTTCGAATTTCCCCGGTCCGGCGGGCCAGACGACACGCCTCGGAGAAATCCTCGGTAGCGAGAAAGCTGCTTCAAGCCAAGCCAATCCATCACCAATCTCTCTCTCTTTCTCTCTAGTCCTTCTCTCACTCCATCTTAGACATTGCTGGAACGTTGTGCTCGACTAGCATTTCCAAGTTTCCGCGGCCGATGGCCATCCTTGACTCCATCAACTCATATCTACCGTCTGCAGTGGCTGGTCCTAGTCGAAACTACAACTGGCTCCCGCAATCCCCGGCACGGTCATCTCAATCTCAATCTCAACATGTGTGGACTCGTGATGGGGTAGACATGGAGTCAGGGTCATTATTGTCTTCTGGCGAACCGTTAGAGGAAGAGCCGACGGGATTCCTGGCGACGCGACCTGTCCTATGTGCACTATTGATGCTGGCTGCACTATTCGTCGTTGGGTCTGTCCTGATGGGCGGGACGTTATGGTTGGCGTTACCACCCCTTGATGAGTGAGTCTCCACACGTATGTTTGAATATGATGGATGCTCAGCGGGTTGTGTGTCACCTGTACTATTTCGTTTATGTAGAGCCGATCGCATATCTGCCAAGATTCCTAAAACCTTTGAAGAACTGAAGGCCTTGAACACGCTCGTGAAGAAGCTGAAGACCATATACCCGATACGGACCGTGATTTGCTTCATCGTGTCTTTCCTCTAGTGAGCACCGTATTTCTAACATGTGCAATGCGGATCTTATCTAAACACCGTCCCTTCATAGCGTGCAAGCGTTTTCTCTTCCTGGCTCAATGTATCTCGCAATACTGGGCGGAGCAGTCTGGGGTGTCCCAGTTGCGATACCTTTAGCCAGCGTCGTGGGTCCGCTGATTCTGTCATAACCAAAGGTCTCTTGTTGAGTTTCTTATCTTTCTCATAGTGCACAGCAACTGGTGCATCTCTTTGCTACCTCATCTCCGCGTGCTTTGGTCCCGCCCTATTCGCATTACCAAGGCTGCGAGTACAGATCGAGTCTGTGACAGAAAAGATCGGCGAGCCGCATCATAGGAAGAATATGATTCCTTACCTCATGATCCTCCGGTTAGTTGGAACTCAGGCCTCAAGCAGAATATTTGCGCTGATGCGCAATTAACTTATAGAATGGTTCCCGTTCCACCAAATTGGACTGTGAATCTCGCGTGTCCACACCTTGGAGTCGACATCGTGACATTCTGGATCGCTGCGTTCCTCGGAATTCTAGGTCTCAGTGCTATCCACGCCACCATTGGTAGTAAGCAACGTAACATTCCCTCACAGTGATAAGTGATTGATGTTGACCTGCGCTTTCTTTTGAATAGGCGGCCTGGACCAAATGACATCCTCTGACGACTTCCATCTCCTGTCTTGGCGGAACGTAATCGCATTTGCCGCGGTCCTTATGGGAGCCCTCGTCCCCATCATCCTCAAGTGGCGCTGGCGAGCCGAGGTGGCTGCGATCGAAGGCGTGTCGGAACGGCATGAGATGCTGATGGAAGAGGCGCCTCAGATACGCGAACTGTCGACACTCTCAACCGTGATCTTTGAGGCTACAGATTTCGATGAAATCGCACCAGATACGCCGATCGGATCGCTTGGCTTGATGAACGTCGGACGGACCCCCGTGACTGCCGAGTTCTGGCCCGAACGACGACTATCGTTGCTACTTGCTCCATCAGCTCAGAGTCATGATCGACGAGGAACCGGCTTCGAGTATGTGGATCAGGTCTCCGGGGAGAGTTGGAGACCGTAGAAACTCAGGTATCTGGTCACCGCATGCATTCCCCTTACCACACGCTCCCTCGTCGCATTGATGAACATTTCCGGTATTCTTTTGTTTTATATCCTGGTTATTATTATTACTGGCCTCTTGAAATACGATTTGAGTAAGTTCCAAACGGAGCACATCTGAAACATGTCATCCATCTTTTGTGAAGCATCTGCTTTGACATTTTTGGACTTGCACGGTTTGCTCGTGGGCAGCACGCAGCAGCCAGGATATCGTGTGTTAGCGGAATGCGAGAGAATTCGACGAGCTTAGAACGCTGCTGTCGAGTCCACGAGAATAACACGGCGTCATTTCGGGACGTCTCGGAAGTAATGTCAATTTGAGAGGGGAGAAGTAAGTCTTCAGCACTTGACTTCTGGTTACATTGCTCTCCTGTTCTGTGAATCCACCATTTTGGACTCTGGAGCTTTACGATGAGAAACCTGATCGCACCCCTACTCATCTTTTGTCTGAAAGAGTGAGCCTTCAAGTTGTGTTGTAGAAAAGGCTTGAGACGCGTAAAAGAATATGGCTAGGCTTGAGAGAATGTCTATATTTTGCTTGGACATCGTTAGAGTCCGCCGGCTGAGTGACCCTTCACCGTACGCATAACGAAAAGCGGGTGCTGCCCTCTAACAACGGGTTGGACGATACTTCATGACTCATAGGAATGCCTGGCCTGTCCCTGTCCTTTCTCTTCCCTTTTTGGTGCGTGAAGGAACCTAGAAAGGATAGAACTGGCATGCCGCTGACCAATTGTAAATTCTTGCATCATGTGAGCGAGTCCAGCTTCAGAACGCGGACAGTGGGGCGGCGATTTCGGCGCGTTGACAGTGAAAGGAAATAGCAGTTGCAGAAGCTTGGGTCAAAAAATAAATAAATCATTTGGCATGACCTGCGTGGGGTTGAGTATGAATGATGGTGGCTAGTGTTCATGAAGCTGAGAGTGACTGAAGAGTGTGTTGCTTGGCAGGGCTCAAACGATGCGATGTGCCCTTTCAACACTATCCAAGTCTGCAGCCCTCCTACATTAGCTGGACCTGTTCGCTCCGTTTCCAGAGCGTCAATCCTTGTCCAGCAGGCGTCGGCGCAAAAAAGAAAAGAAAAGAAAAGAACGTAAAAGAACGTAGAAGGGGATACTATAGGTAAGGATGGGACAGATCTGAGTATAGAACAAGGTCATCTTGTTCCAGAAACTGGTTGATGATGAGACAAAAGCGTCTATATTTTGTCAAATGCTTCGGCTTCCATCAAGCCGCTTTAGCTCAGTTGGGAGAGCGATAGACTGAAGTCAAAGCGATTCATAACATCTACAGGTCGCCCGTTCGAACCGGGCAAGCGGCAGTTACTTTTATTTTTATGCACTCTCTCTTTTAGAGTGCTGGGGGGTGCGGCGAAATGAATTCGGCGATTTTGGTTCGGTTATTTTGACTAAGGTCGGAAATAGATAATCGAATATCCACCTGGATAACTCCCGGTAGGCCTATACCAAAGTCTCTATAGACAGTGGGGGAATGGAGAACTCGAAGGTGAGGGTGGACCGGGTGAGCCAAGTTTCCAAAAGCGCTGAACGTAGGAAGCGGACGCAACCGCAACCAGCACACCGAGATGAGCACAGGCATGCTTCCAGTAGAGGTAAAGAGGGCCCAGATACCGTTAATTGTGGTGTTTGGAAGGAGGGAGGCTGCCCATAACTCGGCAATCTTTGCCAAGGGAATCGGACAAATCGCGCCAGGCCATGCAAGAGGTTTCGTATACAGGCAGCCAAACTCTCCATGTGCAATGGGGGAAGGTGTATCCATAACAGAGGTATAGTTTCGTCTGCAGAACCTAGTCGTGTTTAACTGTGAAGTGCTGAAAACTGCTGACAAGGCGTAGCACGACAGACAAAATGTAGTTGTTTTCTGAAGCCCGCGCCAATGGAATCCAACCAAGTCCTGTTGCATGAGACCCATGTGGACGATGAGCAGCTAAGCATTGGCAAGAGGAAAGTCAGCGCTGGCGGTAGTCGACCTGGAACAGTGAGGTATCAGGCGATATAAGTTCTCCAAAAGTGAAACACTTTACTGAGCGCGCATTCTATTTAGTAGCAGGGGATGAGGGCCTTGTGCATAAGCGCTGGGCAGAAGGACAGAAATCAACCGTGTTGAACAGAGTAAACCATTAAAAAAATAGTGTTTGTAAGCATCACGTGATGATATCTAATAATATTAATTTCATCGAAGGCCACTCAAAAGCTTCAGATATGACACATTTATTCGCAACAAGCAACTGTCAAGGAGCGAGTACAAGTACAGTCGATGAGCCGAGGAAGCCGGGACCGCACATGTGTACCGCACTGGGTCTTACGCATGTCGGGCCCTGCCCTCATCAAAATGCGAGTTTGAAGTGAGCATATGGTGCTGAAACCAAAGACTAGCTACTGGTGATGCATAGCCCATAGAAGCTGAGGTCAAAGAGCGGGCGCAGATAGCGGTTGTGTTGTGAGTTCACGACGCATCCTGGTCGTGGGATTAGGGCTCTCGGCCCTGGACGGTGGCTGGGTGTCGGATTGGAGAGGCGCTGTCCAGATGCGAACTGCGCCGTCGTGGGTTGCAGATGCGAACATAAACTGACCTGGTGACTTATGATTCCATGCTACGCCAGTCAGATCGCCGCCATCGTCACCAGGAGTTAGGTTGGCCGCCTGCAGGGTGTGTAGTAGCAGTCCACTTTCGCGATCCCATATGTGGATGTCTCCCTCTGATTGAGTAAGACGCGTTAATTGCTGATTGGGTCCGTTCCTGGTAGCGAAATGGCTTACTTTTCCCAGCACAAATGACAAGTTGATCAGAAGCACCGCTAGAAAATTGAGCATTAGAGTGACAATCTCCAGTAGAAATAGCGACGGAAACTCACCCAAAGTAGGATGGACCCGCAAAGTGCACAGTTTCCGCCGGAATATACGTGTGATCCAGTGTCAACCTCGCCTCAAGCTCCTCCGTGCCTTCAATCTGTTTCCTAATCATAGCCATTCGCCATAGTTCTGGCGGCGCCGTATCTTCATATGATACCAATGCGTGTTGACCATCGCTGCTGATAGTTATGTCGCGAACCCGTTCCAATACCGGTACCTGATTTTCGATCGTGTTGTCATTTAGGTCATAGACTAAGCCGATAAGTGCATTAGAAGATTAGCGTCTGTACGTTGGGCTGCGCCGTGCAAGCTTCTCACCAACTATCCGCTTCTCTGCTCGAGATTTGCTAGGCTTCAATTCGTGTATAGACTCTTGTAGGGTACCGACGAGGAGCATCCTGAGAAGGCCCGCGATATAAGTGAATTAGTACGGGCCGCAGGTAATATCTCAAAAGCGTAACTGACCTCTTCTCGTCTGGAGTAAAGGCTACATCATGGATTTCCATCCTCTTGAAGTGGTGACTGTGAATGATTTCCCCCTCGAGGTTCTTGACAAGGAGAAAGGTTACGGCGATGTTTCGAGCATACGATGTGCCCTGTACATACCATGATATGTACATGCCCTAGCTCAACGCAGGCAAAGCTAGTCCCGCCAGGTAGCCAAGCGACGGCCTGGACGTCTTGTTCTCGCTTGATCGTTTTCTTGCAGACTCCCGTCTGAGGAAGAAATACACCTCAGATATGTACTTGGAAAGCGGTAACGGCGCCTATCACTCACTTCCACAGTCCAGATTTTCACTCCTCGAAGTAGCTTAGTTAGAAGATACGTCCCAGTTGGACTCCATGCGACCTGCCCAACGAATCCAAAGGAGCCGTGTCCCAGCACCTTGTGAAGCGTGAAAGGATCCCCCACTCTCCATATCACGGCCGTCCGATCCCAACTGCAAGTTGCTAACCACTTGCCGTCCATGGAGAACTGCAAATGTCGGACGAGCCCTTGGTGCCAATCAAGATACTGGCTAGCGCGAAGCTGACGCAGTGCAGGGATGAGGACGGTGATACGAGGCGGACGCACAGCGAGCCGTTCGCGACCGTCGCTCGTACTCGCATGATGAGGTCCATGGCTTCCTGTGGTCTCGGGAACGCTGACCCCAGTCGTCTGGCGTCGCAGTGGCTGGGGACCTGGGAAAATGTTTCCCAGGGTCGGCTTGTTGATCAATGCTCGGGATCGAACGACCTGCCGGACCATCCGCTGGAATTTAGCTCTTGCTGGAGAAGGCAAAGCTACTGGACTTGCGGAAGGACTTTCCAGCGTGACATGATTATCAGAAGGGGGTGACTGAGGGGAACTTGCGGAGAGGATGGACATGGGTCCGTTTTCCTGCGTCGGAGAAGAAACCAGCTCCTGTCCTTGAAAGATGGTGGGAGTGGTTGGCGTGGCGACTACCAAGCGTGAGCGATTCGACACTATGCTCGACTCCGAGAACTTTCTACCGTGCCCGCCCAGGCTCCTCGACGACGACGGATTGACTGTTGGCAGGCCGCTATCGCTATCTCTGCCAGCCAGGCTCTCCAAATCGCCATCGGAGCTCTCGCTGGCGAAAGACTCTGGCTTGCCGAGCACAGTTGACGACAGCTTGTCCGCGACCTTCCCGGACATCTCGTAGACCTGCGTCTTCGCACGCACAAGCTGCGTTCCCCATCTTCCACCAAAACGCTTTGTAGTCCTCCCCACCCAAGAGAGACCTGTGGCATCTAGGAAGTCTGCGCGGGTATCGTTGATGACGTCCCAAAGCCATTTGCTGCCCTTTGTCTTCGAGAACACCCATCTCTCAAATGCAAACCATAGCGCCACGGCTAACAAAGCCATGGATGTTAAGCATGTGAAGATAGTGGCGCTGATCTTCAGGTTTAAGTAATTTCAGGAACTATCAGTCTTTGATCGCTTAAAAATTATGAACGCACTATGACAAGTTTGCCTTGACCGGAAGAATGGGTGAAGCAGACAAGTCCGATCGAGAAAGCCATCACGGCGACGACAAGGAAGGCAAGTGGCGTTCGTGTCAGCCAGATCGACACCCACCCTGCAGAATAGACGGATATATAAATCAGGAGCGAGATGGCGCCTAATGACACTCGAGACTCACATGGCACGGCACTACGGGGGGACCGGCTATATTGGTGTTATTATGGCGCGATGAATGAGATGAGATCCTTAAACTCACTACATCGCAGCTCTCCAGTGATAGGCTAATTGTGAGTTGATCGCTGATGCGATACTGAACACGAGTGACGATATCCATAGACAGTTGACGAGGTGACCCAAGGAATTGCTGTGGTCAAACCGTGTGAGTCAATGTTGTGCATCTATTTCGGGCCAGCCATCCTCTTACTCTGGCGTCGATGATACAGTAAACTTTGAAGGACAGTCGTTTTCAGATAACGCAAAAATCCCATGCCGGTAGATCATGGCACCTACCTGCAATGTACTTGCGGTGACGCCTGAGAAGAATGTCGCCTGCAGTTACCAAGTCAGCAACTAGCTACCCAGTTCATCAATGCACTTTCGCTTACGACAGTTGATAGATTGTGGAGTCCTGATTGGGTACGAGCCTGTGCGGTCTGGATAGTACTAACACCTGCGACGACAGCGTCAGGGGGGGAGCGGGCATAGGAAGAGAGAAGGGCCTACCGTCTTTTGCAAACGTCTTCAACGCATCTTGGATATCTTTGAGATGCTCATCCATTTCCTTCGTCAAGTCATTGACGTATCGCTTGATCGAAGGGTACTGGAATTGGTCTATCAGGGGCAAGACAGTGTCAGCATGGCAACATCTGCTGCATGTTACGTCTGACGTACTTTTGAAATCTTGCATACAAGATGCCCAGTACTTAAGGTCGGCTTCGAAGCTCAAGACGCTGGCGTTTAAACCTTCATCGGTGAATCTGAAAGGGCGGGAAAGTCATGTCAGCTTCAAGCTTAAGCATACGTCGGCGGCGCTACGGACTCTGGTATATCGTGCAAGAAGTGGAGGAATGAAACCAGATCTTTTGCAAGGAATTGAAACTGCTCCGGGAAGTCCTCCAAATCTGACGTCAAACCTTTCCCAACCGTCGGCCTAAGGGTCTGTGTCGGACGATGCCTCGCTGTCCGCCTGCTTCTAGACTTCTTGCGTGACGAGAGCGGTAGTATTAGGTCTGCTGGTTGCTTCTTGATCTATGCAGATCAGAGTTACATAATCAGTAATCGATTGATAACAAAAGGGTCAAAACCATATCAAACCTTTTCTGGGAAGATTTCAGAAGCGTTTTCGCGAAACAGGTGAAGGATTTGCTGCAGCCGGGTGCGAAGGTTGTACGCGCTAGATATTAATCCGACAGAGGAGCCAAGGGGACGGACGGCATTGCCAAAGTTGAGGAGTTCGGTGTCGACTTGACGGATGCGCCT